GGAGGGGGAAGAGGCTGAATGGAGAAGAGAGGCTGAATTTTGTGGGGTTTTTGAGGCATCAGTAAGAGTGAGTTATTTCATTAATTTATTTTTATCATGTGTGGTCCCAGCTGAAAAATTTGCTGTTTGCAAACTTTGCTGCAAAAGAGACCTTGTTAAGACTGAGAATCACACAGAAACCAGAGCATCTACCTTTTCATCCAAGACAAACTACATTGGAGATACTAACTTCTCCCTATCTTTCACACAACCTAGAGCAAGTGGGGGAAAGCAGAAAAATAGTCTTCTGCTTTGCCATTCACCATCTCCCAGATCTGAACCTGGCACGCTGAGAGTACCACAAGTAGTTCTGTAATGATGAAAATCACCTGTGTTGGAAGGTAATTTTTCACAATCTTTCCTGCACAGATAGAGAAATAGTACCTATTACAGCAGAAGAGACAAAATTCTTGTTCTGTGTAACATACTAACACAAATCAAACACTTAAACCACAATTTGCTCTTAATTACACTACAGAATTATGTTGCAAGCGATTCAGAATTACAACTAATAGGATACAAGAGTTTAGGGACTTTTTAGTTAATAAACTCTAGTTTTGAGATTTTAAATGCAAGGTGTGTAAAGAGATCTGATCAAACATTTTCATAAAGGTAGAGCTAAAAAAAAATGTAGTTCATATTTTCTTTAGCTTATGTATGTTTGAAACTGAGATCCCACAACTGATTACTCTGTAGCTTTGACATACCCAAGTTAGTCTGAATAGCAACAGCAGCACAGATATGCCCCACTTAATTTGAATGACGGTCATTAATGAATGCACAACAAAACATCCGTTTTCTCCTGTCTTCCTGAAGTGGCCTGAAAATAGAACGTAGCTGAACAACTTAAAAGCAACATTTTCGTAGAGAATGTTTTATTAGTTAAAAATGCAAAGGCCTATACAGATTCAGGCTGCCAATTCATTGACTTCAATAAATATGAATTTTCAAATTCTGTTCAAGCTCTGAAAATAGCATTGATTGAAAGAGTTTTTGTTTCTTTACAAATTTAAGTAAATAGCTTTTCAACCACCAATGATAGCTGTTCATTCTGTAAACGAATAATTCTCTTACGTCTATCTATTCTAACAATTCTTTTAGATTTTGAAGTGTCTGTGTTTCCTTTTAATGGACTTTGAACGTACACATACAAGCATCTTGAAACCAACTGGTCACTTAAGAGCTTCTGGCTTGCCTGGTGATGTGTTTATCCTCCCTCCCATTTGGCAAGGACTATCTGGAGACATTTTGAACTATATTGCTTAGAAAAGCCTCCCAACCCTTTCGAAGAAAGACACTTAAGCCACTTAACTTAAAAACCAGTTTTGGGAACCAAAGACTAGTTGAAGTATATTGACAAAGGAAAGGAGGAGCGGGCAGTAACTTTTCCTAGGAAAGCTGGACTGCTTAAGAGTGTGTCCGCCTGTGCTTGTACACTTATGTATAAAACCCTCTACCACCCCATCCATACAGGTCTGTCAAAGAAAACACTGTTGGCAAAAAGACAGCACTAAGGAAAATGGGTTAACATTAAAGATAGTTTGTCAGCTAAACTAAGAAGAAAACTGTTTTTCTTTCAGCCATTAAAATTCAGATTCTTATTGCAGTGAAGCTTCTGACATGTTTTTATTTCTGGAACACAGAATTATTTCTGGCTCTTTACATAATTCTTGTATTCAGGAGGTTATTCACAATGACTGAAATTACAATGCACTAAAATAGTTACCAGATAAACAGAACACTGAAAAGCAACAATGAGATTTTCAAGGCTTCTAACATGAAAGGCAATAATAAGACTCCCTTTGACTTCAGTGGGAGCAGAATTCCATAAGCACAAGTGCAGAAATCCTGCTTTATGTATTTATCAATTTGCAGGTGTGCAAAGATAAAAGGAGAAAAGGATTATGAAAAATATTTGAACAGCAAACCTCTCCCTATTATTAGCACAAGAAATGCTTTAGAACAAGGAAAAAGAAAGTGAAAACTTCACAAGAATGAAGAACATGGGCATAATATTGAGCAATTCTTTAAAAAGAGCAATTAAATATTTGAATTTTGAAATAAAAATTTAAAAAAATCTTTTAAATAGGACATAAAAAGTAGAAAATGTCATTTGAATAACTGCTGATAAAAAATGCTATGGTAGTAACACACCTTAAAAATAAATGGTATGCAATTTGATATTCATTAATGTAATATTCTTTTTAGAGCACAAAAAAGGTGATCAATACTCTGCAGATGTGGTCAACAATGAAACTTCACACAACAATTAAGAGTGCAATTCCTGATCATATTATTCACCTGACAATTACTGTTTTCCATTATACCTAACCAGTGATACCTAACACGCATCTAAACAACATTTAGAGTCATTTTTCACTAGCAACTCTTTGGGTGATGAAATGGGGAGAATTAAAAAGAAAAAAAATGGTAATTCTGAGATCCAGAGGAAAAAAGGCAATGGAAAATTATACAAGACTGGTTAAGAATCCTGTGGAACACATTATTATTCAAGGATACTCCTTCAGAAGTCAGGGAGTAGAGATGCGGTATTCTCAAAATTTTAACAATTACAAAAGACTGCACACTACCTTCTAATCATACAAAGTGTTTTTCTTCCCAAACGAAAAAACAGTGTCCATGATTCTTTTAATATTTAAGATACTGATTTATATTCAAAGCAGCTGCTGGGTTTTGTTGTTGTTATGGATATAGCCACACAGGGAATGCTCCCCTTGCAACTCATTATGTCTGTTTGATCTATTGTTATGAGGAAGTAGTGTATTGAAATTTATACTAATCCTGTCCTATGAAGTATTAAAAAAAATAGAATTTTTAATAAATACCTAAGCACTCTTTATATGCAAGGCTAATCAGCAGGTGGATTATCAAGAACACTGAGGCAGTGCAGAGAAAAAAATCCTTCCGTTCTTCAGTGTCTTGTATTCAGTTTAGCTTTTTAATATTCGAGTATGTAGCTTGTGCCTTTAATAATATAAGAGCTGGACAACAGCTAACTTTATGACTGATATAATTAATAGCAACAAACAAGTCTGTTCTTTTACAGCAACACTGTCTTTACACCTTAAGCCTGTAAGTCAGGTGTCACAATGCTATGGTAATAGATTTAAGAACAGCAGATTAATTATTTTTCAAGAAAACAACCTAAATTAGTATGTTTTACCATTACTGCTCTAACGCATAATTGCATTACCATATTCACACACAGTGTAACAACTGTTTCTTATCTTACCTGCCACTACAGAGAAGCCAACGAGCAAGAGAATAGTGAGGTATGATCTTCTGTATGACACTAGCCATTACCATGGTAACCACCAACTGTACACCTATCACACCCTGTAGAGGAATAAGTTAATAACAAGTCAGTATGTGTTTTGGAACAGTGCTGAAGTACCTTTAAAAAAAAAAATTAAAAACACCTTGTATGACATGACAGTTTTCAAGAAATCCCCTGGAACTTGCTATAGTCAGTTACACGCTTCATCGAAGGGAAAAGGCATCCCCAGGTCACGATGCCAGTAACGTATGTCCCCTGTTTCACAGGCTGTAAGGCCACATGTGGACGTGGCATTTCACAAGACATTATGCCTTAAAATTACATCACTGATTACAGTCTTGGTTTTTGTGGTCTCTTCAGTTCTGACACGATTTAACAGCTGACACCGCACAAACCCGCTGGAATTAACAGTAATTTACAACATCCACGTCATGAAATTTAAGCCTCTGATTAGCGCAGAGCATTTGCTCCTCGCTGAACTCCAGGCAGAGGTGGGGAAGGGAGGGGAGGGGACACAGGAATCAGCACAGCTTCACTTTAATGTCCAACTCTTGATCAGGATCCGGCACTTCAGCAGCGCCAGCAGTAATCTCATTCCCAGTCACTCAGCATGCTTTAATTCTGACTATTGGTTGTTGCCAGTTTGTTGTGTTTTTTTTTTTAAATAAAGCAACTTTAAACTTCGAAAGCTAAATAACAATGAGTGAAATGTTGCATCTTACTACTTCTATTCTGCACATGAAATTCTATCAACTAACACCATTAAAAACCAGCATGAAGCATGTGCACCATATTTCCTCTATTTACATGCAAGATATTCATACCTAAAACATCACAAGCAATAGTAAAAAGTATCAAACACAGATATGCAAGGGAAATTTACAAAAACATGCAAGTGAAAAGACACTAAAAATCAACCAAATAAGCTATTTCCACTCTTTTAAACTGTTTTTCAGAATACTTTTTCATGGAAAGGAATAGAGATACTTTTTCAATCAGCACACAAAATGCCACATTTAAGTGGCGGCGTATAAAAGTTCATATTCACTTCCATTCTTAGATACCAACTTTTGGATATCACTAGTTACTAACGATACACTGAAGACAAACTATTTCCCTCTGTAGTTGTAGAAGCTGGGAATTACACTTCACTAGCTTTGTACTCATGCAGTGTGCTATGGAAGGTCAGGAGGCAAAAGTATTTCTACGTATGGAACCAGTATGCAATTAGCCATTGGCAAATAAAACACAGATTAGCTCATACACTTGAGAAACATTTTCTCCAAAATTCCCCAAAGGAAGAAGTAAGATTCGTCTCTCAAGAACACCTCACTAAGCAGCAGTACTGCCATTGTTCAAACACACCCTCTCCCACCTAGCATACCTGTTCTCTTGGAGGAAATTTAACCACACGTTATTTTTACCAGAAGCTTCTCTCAATGTAAAGATAATCTGGGAAAGGAAAGAGCAATTCTGACAGAATGGTGAAACAGCTGAGGTTGGAAGGGACCTCTGGAGATCAGCTAGTCCAACCTCACCTGCTAAGAACAGGGTCAACTAGAGCAGGTTGCTCAGAGCCATGTCTTCAGTCAGGTTTTGAATGTCTCCAAGGACGGAGACTCCATAACCTCTCTGGGCAACCTGTGCCAGTGTTTGACCATCCTCACCTTCAATAGTTTTTTTCTTTCTTATGTTTCAATGGAATATTCTGTATTGTGCCCGCTGCCTCTTGTCCTTCCACCGAGCACCACTGAGAAGAGTCTTGCTCCACCTTCTTTATTCCTCCCCATCAGGTATTTATACACACGGGTAAGATGCCTCTTGAACTTTCTCTAGGCTCAGCAGCCCCAACCCTCTCAACCTCTCCTCGTACGACAGATGGTCCAGTCTCCTCATCTTCGTGGCCTTGTGCTGGACCTTCTCCTGTAAGCCCATGTCTCCCTTGTACTGGGGAACCCAAAACCAGACGCAGCACTCCAGCATCTCGCCAGTGCTGAGCAGAGGTGAGCACCTTTGTCAACCTGCTGGTGATTCTCAGCATAATGCAGCGCAGGGTGCTGTTGGTCACCTTTGCCACAAGGGCCCACTGATGGCTTATGGTCAACTTAATGATCTCCAGGACCCCCAGGTCCTTTCCTGCCAAACATTTTTCCAGGTGGACAGCCCCCAGCATCTACTGGTGCCTGGGCTTATTCCTCCTCAGGAATACCGGCATTTCCCTTTGCTGAGCTGCATGAGATTCCTGTTGACTCGTTTCTCCAGCCTGCAGAGGTCCCTCTGAATGGCAACGCAACTACCTGACGTAGCAGCCACTCCAAGTTTTGTACCATCTGCAAACTTGCCGAGAGTGCACTCTCTTCCATCTTCCAGGTCATTAATGAAGATGCTAAATAACACTGGCACCAGTATCAACTCCTGGAACACATCACTAGTGACCTGCATCCAGCTGGACTTTGTGCCACTAATCACACCACTTCAAGCTCAGCATCTCAGCCAGGTTTTAGTCCACCTCACTGCTCACTTATCTAGTCCATACTTCATCAGTTTGTCTACAAGGATGTTAGAGCAGACAGTGCTGAAAGCCTTGCTAAAGCAAAGATAAATAATATCCACTTCTCCCCTTGTCCACCAAGCTAGTCATTTCATTGTAGAATGCTATCAAGTTGGTCAAGCATGACTCTCCCTTCAAAAATCCAAGCTGACTACTCCCAAACCCATCTTGTCTTCAATATGTTTGGATTTAGTTTCCAGGGTTATTTGTTTTATTACCTCCTCAGGGATCAAGGGGAGGCTGACCAGCCTATACTTCCCATATTCTCACTTACTGAAGAGAGAAGTAACACTTGACCTCTGAAGTCCTCAGCAATCTCCCCTGATTGCCATGACCTTTCAAAGACAGAGTGAGGGTGGCCAAAGAGGGCGACATCACAACAACACTGGCCACTCCCTCAGCACTGGTGGGTGCATCCCATCAGGACTCATGGACTTGTGTATCTACAACTTGTTTAAATGTTCCCTAACATGATACTCTTCCATGGAAGGTAAGCCTTCATTGCTCCAGACTCTTCTACTGGTCTCAGGAGCCTGGGATTCCTTAAGACAAACTTTATAGTGAAGACCAAGGCAAAGGCAGCATTAGTATCTTGGTCCTTCCCATGTCCTTTGCCATCAAGTCTCCTGCCCCAGCCAGCAGCAGGCCCATGTTTTCTGTCATAATACATTTGCTGTTGATATACTTGTAGAAGGTCGTCTTGTTGCCATTCACGTTCCACATCAAACTCAACTTCAGGTGGGCTTTGGCTTTCCTAACCCCACCCCTGCATGCTCAGACAGTTTCTCCATATTTCTCCTGGGTGACCTGACCCTGCTTCCACCTCTTACATACTTCATTTCTATGTTTGAGCTTAGTCATGAGCTCCATGTTCATCCATGTACATCAGGATGGATTGTTCCTGAGCTTGGAGGAGGTGATACCTGAAAGCCAACCAGCTTTCCCAGACCCCTCTTCTCTCCAAGACCATATCCCATAGGATTCTTCCAAGCTGAGGCCTGATCAGGCCAAAGTCTGCTCTCCTGAAGTCTAGGATTGTGAACCTGCTACTTGCCTCGTTTCCTTCTCTCAGGATACTGAACTCTACCATTTGATGGTCACCGCAGCAAAGGCTTCACAACCTTCACATCACCAACCAATTCTTCCTTGTTTGCAAGTCTGAGGTCCAGCAGAGCACCTCTCCTCATCAGCTCCTCAATCACCTGTGTTAGGAAACTGCCATGAAAGCACACAAAAAATCTCACGGATTGCTTGTGCCCTGCTGTGTTGTCTCTTCAGAAGATACTGGGGTAGTTGGAAATACCCTATAGGACCAGCGCCTAGAAACCTGAGGATTCTTCCCATTGTCTAAAGAAGGCCTTATCTTCTACTTCTTCATGATTAAGGCTACCTACAGCAGACACCTACAACATCACCCATGTTGCTCTGCCCTCTAGTCCTTACCCATAAGCTCTCAGATGGTTCATTATCCATCTCATGGCAGACCTCCATGCATCCCCGCTGCTCTTTCACTTAAGAGCAAGTCCCCCATCCTTGCTATCCCACCAGTCCTTCTAAAGGGCCTGCATCCATCCATGGCAGCACTCCAATCATATGAACTACTCCATCACATCTTTGTTATCCCAATGAAATCGTAGCTCTGCAACTTCATACAGCCCCCTACTTTCCCATTTCCTCCCCATGCTGCATGCATTAGTGTACAGGCAGGTCAGAGATGCACCCAAGTGTGCCAGTTTCCCCAGAGAGATACAAAAGCTTCTCCCCCATAAGGCTGGCCTCATTATCTGTGTACAGGTATTTCCTTGTTTGTGTTTATATACTTGTGTGGGCCCCCTTCTGCCCTGTTTAGTTGTTTTCAAAGACTCCTCTCCATATCACCCTGCGTCCTTTGCTTACCAACTCAGTCCACCTCTTTTTCCTCGATTTGTGAGTCATCATCTCCTCCCTCTCTCAGTCCTAGTCTAAACGTCTCCATATCAGTTTGGCCAGCCCGTTGGCAAAGATGCTTTTGCCCCACTTGGTCAGGTGGATGCTGTCCCTTCCTAGCAGTCCTCAAACCTCAGAGAGGGTTCCTATGGTCATACAAGCCAAGTCCCTGCTGTCAACAGCTGCTGTGCAACCAGCTGTTAACCTACAGAATCCACCACTCTTCGTCCACCTTCCCCCTCCTCACCAGCAATATCTTCTTTGGTCTTAAATACTGTACTAAGGAAAGTTCTTCTCTTTTCTCCCTTCAACGCTTTTTTTTTTTCCATTTAAATAAATCAGAAATTGTGTCAATAATGCTTTTATGAAAAATTATAGGCAGATGAAGCGTTGTAGGTGATGTCCAGTATCATCCTTAATACAACATGATCAAGGGAGATTAAGATAGCATAAATTACCTTTCAGCATGTGTAAACACTTTCAATATGTTATCACACATCTCAAAGTGTCAAGTATCATCTAGAAGTACTTGTTACTTTTTTGTAACTTGAAATAACACCTTTGGGTTTGGTGGGGT